CTCATCGTTTTTTTACACTCAGGAAATTGGATCCGCGCAAAACAGAAATAGGATCCACGAAACTCTCCTGCACCCGGAAAGGGATTCAATTGGATCCATGGGCGCTCTCATATTTTTAATCCAAGAGGAAAAACTATCGGCCTGGGGACGCAGGATTTCGCACCCCTTCCGATTTAACACCCCTTACGCAGGGGGAGACGCAACTCGAAATCCCCCTGCAGGATTTCGCAACCCTTACGATTTAGCACCCCTTACGCAGAGGGAGACGCAATTCGAAATCCCACCCAGGATTTCGCACCCCTTACGATTTAGCACCCCTTACGTAGGGGGAGACGCAGTTCGAAATCCCACCTCCGCAGGCCGACGGATTTTCCTCTTGAGCCCCACATGTCGGAAGCGACGCGCCGTTCAGGTGAGCGGATACATGTAGCGCTCTCTTCGAGGTTGGGTAGATACGTTACGGTTGGAGGTGCGGGGGTTGGCCGGGCCCGCTGTGGCGCTCGAGCAAACGGGAAGACTTTCGGGAAATGGCCAGGCCCGGGGTGGCGCTCGAGCAACCACATGTTATGAGAAAGTGAAGGGAGGTGGCCGGGCCCGCTGTGGCGCTCGAGCTTCCGACTTGGACACTTTGCTTGTGTGTCCTCGCCCTCCCTCATCCCTTCCTCTCCTCTTCCTCCTCACACTTCCCCCCTCCTCCTCTCACCTCCCCCCTCCTCCTCCTTCCTCCTTCGTCCGTCTGCCTCCCTCCTCTTTCCTCCCTCTTCCCTCATCCTCCTTTTCCTCTTCCTGTTCCTCGTCCTTCCTCCTCCCCTATTTATCCTCTCTCCCCCCCTGCGCCCCCTCTGTTATCCTCCCACCTCCTCTTGCCCCTTCCCTCATCCGTCCCCGCGTCATCCTGGGAAGACCGCCCCCCCCGTAGAATCATAGCACGGGCCTGCATATCCACAGCAACGTGGATAGCATGATGCTTTACTTGCGGTGCCCCGCGGATCCCATTTCCCCCGGGCCCCGGATGTTAATTCTTAGTATGTATTTATTTCCGGAAAAAAATGGACTCATCGTTTTCTCACACTCAGGAAATTGGACCCGCGCAGCACAGAAATAGGATCCACGAAACTCTCCCACACCCGATAAGGGATCCAATTGTATCCATGGGTGTTCTCATATTTTTAATCCAAGGGGAAAAAACTTTCGGCCCGGGGACGCAGGATTTCGCACCCCTTACGATTTAGCCCTCCTTACGTAGGGGGGGACGCAGTTCGAAGTCCCCCTGCAGGATTTCGCACCCCTTACGATTTAGCACCCCTTACGTAAGGGGAGACGCAGTTCGAAACCCCACCCAGGATTTAGCACCCCTTACGATTTAGCACCCCTTACGTAGGGGGAGACGCAGACCGAAATCCCACTTCCGCAGGGCGAAAGAATTTCCTGTTGAGCCCCACATGTCGGAAGCGACGCGCCGTTCAGGTGAGCGGATACATGTAACGCTCTCTTCGAGGTTGGGTAGATACGTTATGGTTGGAGGTGCGGGAGTTGGCCGGGCCCGCTGTGGCGCTCGAGCAGATGGGAGGATTTTCGGGAAATGGCCAGGCCCGGGGTGGCGCTCAAACAACCACATGTCATGGGAGAAATGAAGGGAGGTGGCCGGGCCCGCTGTGGCGCTCGATCTTCCCCGACTTGGACTACTTTGTGAGAAGGCTGAACATAGAGACCTCATCTTCTCTCCTCCGCCCTTCCCTCCCACTTCCCATCCTCCTCCCACCTCCTCCCTCTCCTCCTCCTTCCGACTTGGAAACTTTGCTTGTGTGTCCTCGCCCTCCCTCATCCCTCCTCTCGCTCCTCCTCCTCACCCAATTCCCCCCCCTCCCCTACCCACCTCCTCCCTCCTCCTCCTCCTCCTCCTCCTCCTCCTCCTCCTCCTCCTCCTCCTCCTCCTCCTCCTCCTCCTCCTCCTCCTCCTCCTCCTTCCTCCTTCGTCAGTTTGCCTCCCTCCTCTCTCCTCCCTCCTCCCTCATGCTCCTTCTCCTCCTCTTTCTCCTCGTCCTCCCTTTCTCCCTTTTTCCCTGATTGTTTATCATCTCTCCCCCCCTGCGTCCCCTCTGTTCTCCTCCCACCTCCTATTGCCTCTTCCCTCATCCGCCCCCTCGTCATCCTGGGAAGACCGCCCTCCCCCGTAGAATCCGCCGACCCTGTCGGCGTGTGTGAGGGGCTTTTCCGTTCGAGCCGTCATCTCCGTCATTCTTTGTACTCGTCGTCTCTGTCCTTCCCTTTCCCTGGGAGACCTCTTCCCCTGGGCTCCAGCCAAGCCGACCTTGAGCAACCTCGTAATTGAGTCGAAGGGAAGCCCCTTCCCTTTGATCCCTCCCCCGCCGGGAGGGGGGGGGGGTAGCGACCCCCCCCCCGGGTCAGATACGACGCCCCCCCCTGGGACTCCTCTTCCCCTGGGCTCCAGCCAAGCCGACCTTGAGCAACCTCGTAATTGAGTCGAAGGGAAGCCCCTTCCCTTTGATCCCTCCCCCCCCGGGTCAGATACGACGCCCCCCCCTGGGACTCCTCTTCCCCTGGGCTCCAGCCAAGCCGACCTTGAGCAACCTCGTAATTGAGTCGAAGGGAAGCCCCTTCCCTTTGATCCCTCCCCCGCCGGGAGGGGGGGGGGGTAGCGACCCCCCCCCCCCCCCCCCGGGTCAGATACGACGCCCTTCCCCCCCTGGGAGGGGGGGGGGGGTAGCGACCCCCCCCCCGGGTCAGATACGACGCCCCTGGGACTCCTCTTCCCTGGGCTCCAGCCAAGCCGACCTTGAGCAACCTCGTAATTGAGTCGAAGGGAAGCCCCTTCCCTTTCATTCCTCCCCCGCCGGGAGAGGGGGGGGGGTAGCGACCCCCCCCCCGAGTCAGATACGACGCCCCCCCCCCGTACCGACCTTGAGCAACGTCGTCATTGAGTCGAAGGGAAGCCCCTTCCCTTTCCCTTCCCCGACGGGGGGGGGAGAGGAGGTCCCGGGGGGGTCCCGGGGGAGTCCCGGGGAAGTCCCGGGTCAGATACGACACCTCCCTCCCCCACCTTCTCGTCCTTCTCCCCGTTCCCCCAAACCATCCCACAACCCGTGCCTCTTGCTGCGCATTGCGAACAGGGTCGGCGGCACCGGCCGTCAGGCCTTCGCAATCATAGCATGGGCCTGCATATCCACAGCTCCGTGGATAGCATGATGCTTCACTTGCGGTGCTCCGCGGGTCCCATTTCCCCTGGGTCCCGGATGTTAATTATTGCTAATACTTATATACTTATTCCCGGGAAATAAATGGATCCATCGCTTCTCACACCCAGGAAATTGGATCCGCACAACACAAAGATAGGATCCACGAAACTCTCCCACACCCGAAGAAGGATCCAATTGGATCCATGGGTGTTCTCATATATTTAATCCAAGAGAGAAAATTTTCCGCCTGGGGATGCAGGATTTCGCACCCCTTCCGATTTAGCACCCCGTACGTGGGGGGAGACGCAGTTCGAAATCCCACTGCAGGATTTCGCGCCCCTTACGATTTAGCACTCCTTACGTAGGGGGAGACGCAGTTCGAAATCCCAGTGAAGATTCCGCACCCCTTACGATTTAGCACCCCTTACGCAGGGGGAGACGCAGCTCGAAATCCCCCTGCAGGATTTCGCACCCCTTCCGATTTAGCACCCCTTACGTCGGGGGAGACGCAATTCGAAATCCCACTGTAGGATTTCGCACCCCTTCCGATTTAGCACCCCTTACATAGGGGGAGACGCAATTCGAAATCCCACCCAAGATTTAGCACCCCTTACGATTTTGCACCCCTTACGTAGGGGGAGACGCAGTTCGAAATCCCACTTCCGCAGGCCGAGAGATTTTCCTCTTGAGCCCCACATGTCGGAAGCGACGCGCCGTTCAGGTGAGCGGATACATGTAGCGTTCTCTTCGAGGTTGGGTCGATATGTTATGGTTGGAGGTGCGGGAGTTGGCCGGGCCCGCTGTGGCGTTCGAGCAGATGGGAGGACTTTCGGGAAATGGCCAGGCCCGGGGTGGCGCTCAAACAACCACATGTCATGGGAGAAATGAAGGGAGGTGGCCGGGCCCGCTGTGGCGCTCGAGCTTCCGACTTGGACACTTTGCTTGTGTGTCCTCGCCCTCCCTCATCCCTTCCTCTCCTCCTCCTCCTCCTCCCACTTCCCCCCTCCTCCTCCCACCTCCTCCCTCCTCCTCCTTCCTCCTCCGTCCGTCTGCCTCCCTCCTGTCTCCTCCCTCCTCCCTCATCCTCCTTCTCCTCCTCCTTCTCCTCGGGTTTCCTCCTCCCCCATTTTTCCCTGATTATCTATCCTCTTTCCCCCCCTGCGTCCCCTCTGCTTTCCTCCCACCTCCTCTTGCCTCTTCCCTCATCCGTCCCCTCGTCATCCTGGGAAGACCGCCCCCCCCGTAGAATCATAGCATGGGTCTGCATATCCACAGCTCCGTGGATAGCATGATGCTTCACTTGCGGTGCTCCGCGGATCCCATTTCCCCTGGGTCCTGGATGTTAATTATTATTACTATATATACTTATATATACATCTACACTAGAACCATCGCGCGCGTTTCGCGCGCGCTCAGGTTCTACCAGGCCCCAGGCCTTGACGAATTCACTGCTCCACTGAAGTAGTAGACCACAGTCCACGCATGCCTATCTGCATTCCGAAAGGCCTTCGAGGAAAATGGTTGTGTAGGGGGGCGGAGGCCGTATGAATCGGACTCCCGGAAGGCCTTCTGGGAGCATAAATTTGGGGCGTCTTGGGGAGCCTGCTGGGGCGTGCCGTCGTCATCGTCGTCGTCGTCGTAATGTCGTCGTCGCCTATTGGGGCGCGCCGTCGTCGCCGTCGCCGTCGCCGTCGCCGTCGCCGTCGCCGTCGCCGTCGTCGTCGTCGTCGTCGTCGTCGTCGTCGTCGTCGTCTTCGTCGTTTCGTCGTCGTTGTCGATCCAGAGGGCACTTAGGGCAACATTGTGCGAAACGATTTGCGGGGGGCCGCGAGAAGGCGATCAGTCATGTCCCCAATCAACTTCCCAGCCAGCTCTCCTGTAGCATGATGGTACTTCGAAGCCTCCGGAGACTCGCGGGCCCATGATGAACCATGTCCCCGGAAGGCTTTCTGGGGATATGGTTTGTTGGGGTGTGTTGGGGGGCCTCTTGGGCGGCCCCCGGGAGCCCCTTGGGGGTCTCTTGAGGCTTCCTGGGAGCCTCTTGGGCGCCTCACGGGGCTTCGTGGGAGCCTCTTGGTGGCCTCCGGGGGCCTACAGGCGGCCTCTAGGGCCAGAGACCTCGACATATCGGTTGGCGGTCTCTCTTGGGGAGCTCTTCGGGCACAGTTGGGTTGTCTGGGAAGCCTCCTGGGCCGTCTTGGGGCCCTCTTCGGGGCCTCGTGGCCCGTCTTGGAGCGATCTGAAGGGCCTCCGAGCGAGGCCGTGAGGGAGCGCTGGGAAGCGGGAAAAGCGAGAACGCCTAAATCCTTCAAAAACCATAGGAAAATTAATAAATCTTGCCTCCCAGGGCCCTCTTGGGGAGCCTCTTGAGTCCGTACTGGAGCGTGTTGGAGTCCTCGTCGGCCGTGTTGAGGGCATCTTGGGCGTCTTCGGGGCCTCTCGGGACCGTCTAAGGCCTTCTCGGGACCTTCATTAGCCTGTCGTGGCCTGCTTCGGGGCGGGCCCGGGCCGCCTCGGGACCCCTCTGGGCCTTCTCTTGGCGCGCTATTGGGGCACACTTGGGTTGCCTGGGGAGCATCCTGGGCCGTCTTGGGGCCCTCGTCGGGGCCTCGTGGGCCTTCTTGGAGCGATCTGAAAGGCCTCCGAGGCAGTGAGGGAGCGCTGGAAAGCGGGAAAAGCGATGTTCACTCTTATTTTCCAGAGAAATGCTGAGGCGAAGACAACATGTCATGTGGGCAGTTTGTCCCACACAACCCGCAGAGAACGTAACAATTAAAAGGGCTTTGGGCTGGCGAGGGCAGAAGCGATGGCTACAGAGCGAGCGAAGCGGACGCATGCAATGAACAATACCGTGCACTGCTATGTTCATTCTTATTTTCCAGAGAAATGCTGAGGCGAAGACAACATGTCATGTGGGCAGTTTGTCCCACACAACCCATCCTCATAAATAAACCCCGTCTTCAAGCAATGTACTGGATTACCGCATCAAATTCCACAGGCGGGTCGCCCGCAGAGACAAATAGCTGTGAGAAAGTTCTCGAGCGAGCACGGAGCACAGACGCGGGGGGTAGGAAGCTTTAAGATGCGTAAGGAAGCTGGCCTTGGACTTACCAGAGAGAACCAGGCGCGGCTTGCCCGAAAACGCGCAAACACCCCTACCTTTACAGTGCCATGTGTATAGCTCTGGCGGAACAGATATACTGGCGAGAGCCATACGAGTGCGCGCACGAAAAGGACGGCCAGCACCGCAATAGTCAAAGACAACAGTCTGGACATTGGCATGAGAGTGAAAACGCTGGCGGCCGGGGAGCAGCCACAGCAGACTAGATGCGGGATTTTCCTCTCCAGCTGGCAGCTGTCGTCTCAGGGCGATGCCTAGCAAGAGTGCGACTCTGTCAGCCAACTTGTTCGAGGTGACAACATCGTGATAGTCGGTGCCCTCCAGGCCTGGCAGGCCTCGCAGGTGCTCCTTCGTTCGCAAGCGACGAGGCATCACACTGCTAGGCGGAGCCCGGCGAGCCTGTGACCATTTTTCACAGGGGCTGCCTGAAAACATGCCCCAGACGATACCAGACTCAAGCCAGCCTCGAAGGGTGCGGAAAACATCATCTTGCAGCAAGTCGCACTCTGGGCCCAGGAGAACGTCAATTGAAACCACAGCGTGTCCCCTTTTCTTTAGCTCGGCGGCGAGGCCACCCGAGCCTGAGAAGAGATCCAGGAACACCCTCCGCTCGCCAAGGCGGCCGGCGCGGAGGGCAGCACGTAGGCGATGACGAAGAGCTGCGGGGCGGCCACCGCCCAGATCTCGCAGCCCCTCCTCTGGGCGCTGCTGAGGGCCTGCCTGACCACCGCCAGCCAACCGGCCTTGTCGTACCTCTGAACTGGTGAAGTCGCCCTCCATGTTTCTCGCCTCCGCACCTCCAGCGGTGCGCGGTACCCTGCAACGCAGACATGTGTCGCGTCGCCGTGCCCACGGAAGTGCGGCGAGCAGTCCAAACCTTCGAGCTTGAGGTATTGACAAGCAACATGGAAGTCGGCCAGGCGCTGCAGGTGCGAGCTCACGAACAGCAGCTCCTCTCCGAGACGAAGCAGTTGCAGCCGCACGAACGCACGCCCAATCCAGTGACGTCGAAGAAGGTCGGGTCCCACTGTGAAGTCGAATTCGCCCGTCCTGGAGCTGGTAGTAAGTCCCTCTGGGTACAGTAGCAGGAGGGGGTGCTGCCGCCCTCCGACCACTCTGCACCCGCCTGGCAGAAACTACATGGCCAGCAAGGTCGTGGTCTCCGACGGGCACAGGTCGCACGCCACCAAGACGCACCGCCCCGGGTCTGGCTTCCCCCGCGAGGCCAGCACGGCCGCCATCGCGCGCGCAGGCGCCCGCGGCAGCGGCTGGCGGGAGAGGCCCGACGGGCGCTGCGTCCCGCCTGACAGCGACGCGTTCGCCGGGGGACAACGGCGCCGAACGGGCCTTCCTAGCGCGGGCTCGCCCCCAGCCACGGCACAGCGGGTGCGAGAGGACGCCTCCTGGCCCGTGCCGCGGTCGAGAGTCCACTCGGAGTAGTCCACCAGCGTCTCGCCCGACTGCGCGGGGATCCAACCTGGCAGCGCCAGCAGCCGCGGCGAGCCCGAGCGCATGATCAGCACCAGCAGGTACGAACGCACGGTGATGTGTCGCACCCGACGCGCCGCCAGTCGCGAGCGCCGCCGACACAGCGGCACCCGCTGCGAGCAGCCCTCTGCGGGCCTGTCGCTCAGCGGCGCATGGGATGTCCAGCCCCGGCGGGAGCCCGAAGGGCCTGGCGGCCCGTGCCCGCCGCTCCAGTCGGAGGCGCGCCGGGTGGTCGGCGCCGGCTTGGGCTCCGCTGCATCGCGGGCGCGCTTGCCGTAGGCGGGGCTGACCGAGTAGACCGTCGTTGGCATGGTAGTGTTCCCTCGAGCCGATGTCTCCGGACAGAGGCCCAGCGTGATGTGTGCCGATCTCCTCCAGGCCTGGAAGTGTGCTGCACTGTCCGACAACATGGTGCTTCCTCGCGCCCGGCATGAACCTGCGAGAGGGAGCGTCACCAGGGTTGAGCTCTGATGGGATCCACCTGAACCCGAGCTGCATCCCAGAGGCGACTGCGATAGCGCAGATCTCCCGACAGACGACGTTGAGTGCAAAGTGCGCAGCTCTGCCCTTTTCACACGCGCAGACCACCCCGAGGATGTCACCCAGGATGAGGTGCCGATGTCCATGCAGCTGCGAGTTGCGCGCGAGGCGCCGCACGGCCCAGCGCGCCCCCTCAGCCTCCAGGACGTGGATGGCTGCGGCCCGCCGCCAGCGACGGGCGGCCGCGACCGACCACGGGTCTGCCAAGAGCCGCGCTGCCGGCACCTCCTCAAAGTGGGTCAGGGTGCCCTCCGCGGTGACCTCGTCCGCCGTGGCGTGGAGGAGCTGCTGCTCGACCAGCGCGTCCCTGGGGGCATAATCCGCCGTCAGGACTCCTCTGCAGCGACTGCGCTCCGAAAGACTGCCAACTCGCCGAACATCACTGATGGGCCACGACTGCTCCACCACGCCGAACCCCCATGGGGAGGCGTCCGCGGCGGTGACCCGTTCGCACCAGGGGCGGCTCAGCGAAACGGTCACGCAGGGAAGCAGCGCTCTGAACCACGTGAGCTCCCGCTTCACCGACGACCAGAGAGGCTGCCGCTCGTCACGCGACCGCCTGCAAAACTCGTAGATCGCATGGAAGAGTGAGAGCATGTGCCGCTGCAGCATGACAGCCGCGGTGATATGGCCCATCAGCCTCTCGAGCTCGCGCCCCGTGACAAGACGCCCAGGTGTCAGTACAAAATCGAGGCTAAACTTCAGCCGCCAAAACTTGTTGTGCGACAGGCGCCACGTGGCCGAGGGCTTGTGGAGCACGAAGCCGAGCAGGGCGTGCATGTCCCCATCGTCGCGGTCAAAGGAAACCTGAATCCCCCGCGCGCCCAGGGCGGCCAGCATGCGCTCCACCTCCAGCGCGGGGTCGCCGCTGCCTGACGTGAAGACTGCAACGTTGTCGATGTATAGCATCTTGGCGGTGGCGCACTGAGTCCCCAGCGCAGGTGTGGGCACCTTGTCTGCGATCCAGGGCGCGTCCGGGCTGATGTTGCTCAAGACATGGGCGTGGGCCTCTTGGATGAGGTGCACGGCCCACGACCAGCCCATGGGGACTACTCTGGCAACGAAGTGGATCATCTCCGAAGGGTCTGAAACCCCCAGGCGCTGGCGGGCTGCCGAATCCAAGAAACGGGCTTGGACCGCTGGCAGACCGAAGAAGGCACGTGCCCACGGCGGCAGCTCGCACTGGTAGAAGCAGCACTCGACGTCACCAGAGGCCACAGCAATCCCTCCAGCAGCGTTGACCTCCAAGTTCGCCAGGGCCTCCCCGCTCGCGAGCAGCGTGTAGGGGGGGTCCTGGAAATGGGCATTAGACCTTCTGGCGTCGAAGATCAGCCGCAGCGACGAGTCCTTCTTTGGGACGAAAAAATGCCAGCGCGCTCGATGATGCTGTCCTCGGCCGCAGGCCCAATGATGCCCGCAGAGAGCAGCTCGGAGAGGCACTCGCCATACTGGTAGCCATGCCGCTGCAACACTGGGTCCATGGCGCAGACCCTGGGAGCCTCACCCAAAGCAAAAATTGCGAGCCTCCGGCTCTCGTAACATCTGCGGCGAGTTACACAAGAGAGACTGCAGGCGCGGCGGCAGGACGTCAGCAAGCCGTACCCGCCCCGCCGCAGCCCGCGGGAGCGCCATGGCCCCCTTCCTGTAGGTTGTCGAAGCACCTTCGGCCATGACGTCTGCATAGCCGTTCCGCGAAGCCTGGAGCGTCTGCCACGCCCCCAGGGGAGTCAGGTCGGACGGCGGCGGCTCCACCCTGCCGTAGAGCTGTGCGAGGCGCCGCACGGCAGTGACCTGGCAGGCCGCAGGGGCCCCCGCGGGGGCGTCCATCCCGCGCCCACCGAGGTCGTTCAGCGCAGCGATGCCCTCGCGCAGCCAGACCTCCTGCTGCCTGCGCTGCCGCCCGCGCCGACCGCCGCCGTGCGGCAGAAGGCGTGCCGCCGCACCGTGCAGCAGCTCGTCGAGCGCCACGCCCAGCGGGAGGGGCAGGACGTCGCGCGCGATGCCCGTGTCCGAGACTCCTTGCGCCGAGGCCGCCATCACCACCGCAGTGGCGGCCCTCCCCTGCGAAAGCGCCCGCTGCCCGGGGGGCTGCAGCGGCCGCGCACAAGCCGAAAAACGAGCGGCGGGCTAGGCCCGCCCGCGGCCGCGGGCACCTCGGCCTCGGCCGCCAGGGCCGTCGCCGCCTGCGCCGCCGCCGCCACCACCTTGATCGCCACCTCCTGGTGCGGCGTCGGCGCCGCTGCTGTCCACGCCGCGGGCCATGCGGCGCTCCTCTCTGCCCTGGCGCCTCTCCTTGAGGATGGCGCCCTCCTCCTGCATCTTCTCCGCCACGTGCACCTCCAAGGATGGCGCCACGAGAGCACGGCCCTTGGAGCGGGAGCCGCTGAGGACGATCCTGCGCGCGCCCAGCCCGCCGTCCGAGTCTGCCGTGGCCCCCGTCGTGCTTGAGACCTCGACCTGGCGCAGGGCCTCGGAGCACACCTCATCCCGCAGCTGGAATCGCCTGGCTGCCAGCTCGGACGCCTCGCCGCCGAGGAGGTTGAGCTGGTCGGCCGTGGAGGCCGTCTCGATCAGCCCGCACAGGAACAAATGCGCGTCGATCCCAGGGTCAGCAGCCGCCAGCCCTCGGATCTGACTCCACCAGTAGTGCCGCTGGACAAGCCCGCTACCCTGCTCCAGATGCGCCTGAAGCAGCCAGTCGATGGTAGCGGGCCCTTGCACGCGCCACTCCTGCGTCCTGGGCACCTCGCGCTGCTCGGCAGCCACCTCCGAGAAGGCGTGCCGCCGCTGGTCCGCACCGCTCCTCCGGTACCTCAGGATGCGCTCGTCCAGGACATCATCCCGTGCGTCCCGTGGAGCAGGTGGCGCCTCCTCGGAGAGGGTCCCCACTCGTTCCAGCACGATGACCTCCTCCGGGAACGAGGCCCTGTCGCGGTCGCCCAGGGCGTAGACGGAGGCGAACGCGACGTCCACTGACGAGCCCCGCCTGAAGCCTCGCCGCGACTCCAGGGCGACCCAGTCGTCGTCCAGCTGCACTGGCGGCAGGGGTCCACCGCCGGTACCCGCGAGGAGGGCGGCCCGAGCTTGCTCGTCCAGGCCGAGCTGGTACAGCATCTTCTTGCGCAGCTGAGGCGGGGCCCCCCCTCGAGGGCCAGCTCGGTGGATCTCCACGAGATTCTCGTCGGCGAAATCATCCGCGTACACGTCGGTACCAGGCGTCGCCACCTCCAACCGTGAGCCGTCCACGTGGCCGCACAGAAGCCTCTCGTGGAACCGACGGTCCCCCAGGCTGTACTGACAGTATAGCTTGTCCCCCTGGCGGGCCGTCTTCAGCAGGGCTGGCAGCCTTCGCGGGACCATGGCCATGGAGCCTGCCGACGAGGAAGCCAATGATGAACGCGGCGCCCACAGCGAGGCACAAGACTGAGGCGATCTCCCAGAAGCTCGAGGGACACTCCAAAGGGGCGCCGCGAAGCTGCTCAGGGCCACACCTGTCAAGTTGTCGCTGCAGGACCTGCAGCAGCTCTCTGTCGTGCTCTCCTGTGAAGCTGCACGTGCAGTGGCAATCCCTGCGGAGAGATGTCCAGAGGTTGGCGGCGTACAGGCCAGTCGCAACCCAATCGCGGACAACTGGGGCGAGACCGTACGCGAGCCCTGCCATAACAAGCGAAGCTCTGAACAGAAGCGATGGCTACAGAGCGAGTGAAGCGGACGCATGCAATGAACAATACCGTGCACTGCTAGAACGCCAAAATCCAAAACACTCGGAAAACGACTGAATCTTGCCTTCTAGGGCCCTCTTGGGGAGCCTCTTGAGTCCGTCCTGGAGTGTGTTGGAGTCCTCGTCGGCTGTCTTGCGGGCATCTTGGGCGTCTTCGGGGCCTCGTGGGACCGTCTAGGGTCCTCTCGGGACCTCCTTAGCCTGTCGTGGCCTGCTTCGGGGCGGGCTCGGGCCGCCTCGGGAGCTCTGGACCCCCCCCGCACCCCCTGGTGGGCACCGATGGGGGGAACGAGCAGCGGCCCGCCCCCCCCGGGCCTACTCCGAGATAGAGAATCATGTTCCCGGGAAGCTTTCCGGGAGCATGAGTTGTTCCGCTCTCTGAGAGGGGGGCCTCTGGGGGCTTACCGAGGGGCGCTTTTTTGGCATTGTCGGCCGGCAAGCTACTTGGAAACATGGTTGGGGCGGCGGGCGGAAGTCCAAGGAATCATGCTCCCGGAAAGCTGTCTGGGAAATACGATTTACCGAAGTGTCTTGGGGGCCCGCAGGCGGCTTCCCTGGGGGTCCCTGGGCCAATTGGGGCTTCCGGGGGGCCTTTTGGGAGCCTCACGGGCTTCTTGGGAACCTCTTGATGGCCTCTGGGGGCGTCCTGGGAGCCTCTCAGGCCGGAGACCTCGAAATGTCGCGCTCTTCGGGCCCTCTTGGGTCGCTCTTGGGACTCTCTTGGGGCGCTCTCGAGGCCTTCTTGACTTATCTGGGGAGCCTCCTCGGCCGTCTCTGGGCTTTCTTGGGGGCCTCTCCGGCCGTCTTGGAGCGATCTGAAGGGCCTCTGACGCGGTCCGGGGACCGTGGGGAGGCGGAACATGGAAGAGAGCAAGAATGCTTCAAAAACCATTGGAAAATGTATGATTGTCGGCTTCTGGGGCCCTTTGGAGGGGCCTCTGGAGGCGCTCTTGGGGCGTTTTGGCGGCGTCGTCGGCCGTCCTGAGGCCATCGTCGGCGTGTCTGGGGCCTCTAGGGGCTGTCTTTGGGCGTCCTGGGAACCCGGAAATCATGTTCCCCGAGAAGCTTCCGGGAACATGATTTCGAACGAGGCTCTCTTGGGCCTCCCTGAGGCCGTCTTGGGGGCCTCCTGGGCTGGTTTTGGGGCTTCTTGGGCCGTTTTGGGGAGTTCCGTCAGACCCACAGGACGACCCTTTTGGGCCGTCTTGGGCCCTCTTGGGTCTCTCTTGGGCTGTCTTGGGGCTCCTCGGGGGCGTCTGGGGCACTGCGAAGACGAAACAAGGGAGTATGCTGAAAATGTATGTTTTACTACAGGAACGGGCTGATTGTTGCCTCTTGAAGGCCCCCTCGGGGCCCTCTGCGGCCATCTTGAAGCCATCTCGGGCCCTCCTGGGCCTCGCTGAGGCTGTCTTGTGGGCCTCTTGGGCGTCCTGGGAACCCGAAAATCATATTCCCGGAAAGGCTTCCAGGAACATGGTTTCGAACGAGGCCCTCTTGGGCCTCCCTGAGGCCGTCTTGGGGGCCTCCTGGGCGGGCTTCGGGGCCTCTTGGGCCGTCTTGGGGGGTTCCGTGAGCCCCGCGGGACGATCTTTTTGGGCCGTCTTGGGCCCTCTTGGGTCTCTCTTGGGCTGTCTTGGGGCTCCGCGGGGGCGTCTGGGGCACTCTGAAGACGAAGCCAGCGAATATGCTGAAAATGTACGTTTAACGATGGGAATGGGCCGGGGCCCTCTTCGGCCATCTTCAAACCATTTCGGGCCCTCTTGGGGCGCTCTTGGGCATCTTCGAGGTCTCTTGAGGCTTCCTTGACCATCTGTACGGCCCGCGTGGCCTGTCGTGGGCAATTTGGAAATGGCCCGGGGCAGTCCCGGGGGGTCTGTGACCCCCCAAAGGTTCGGGGGGGCACCCATATGGGGATGATGGCACCGGTTTGGGCCCCCCCCCTGGCCCCCCCCAGCCCCCCCGGCCTCGCCGAAACGGTGAGAAATCATGTTCCCGGAAAGCGTTCAAGAATATGAATCGCACGTCGTCCAAGGCGCTTCGGAAGGCGAAGAATACTCCTCCAAGGCGCGGAATCATGTTCCCGGACCGCCTTCCAGGAACATGATGGGGACGACCTCCTGAGGGCCTCCAGTGGGCCTTTTTGGGGGCCTCTCGGAGGCCTGTTGGGCTCTCCTGGAAGCGTCTTGGGGCGCGCTCAGGGCCATTTTTGGGCATCTTGGGGGCCTCTTGGGGGCCTCCGGGGAGGCTCTTCGGGGCCTCTTTGGGGCCTCTTGGGGCCTCGCGGGGCCCTCTTGGGGCCCGCTGGGCTCGCTTAGGCAGTCTTGAAGCCGTCGGGGCTCTCCTGGAACCATCTTGGGCGGCTCCTGGGCCATCTTGGGGCTCTCCTGGGCCGTCTTGGGACGATTTAGGGGGTCTCTTGGGCAGTCTTGGGGCGGTCTTGGGGGCCTCTTCGGCCGTCTTGGAGCGGTTTTGGGAGACTCTTGGACGGTCTTGGAGCTTCGGAACCCCGAAAAGCGAGAAGGCCAAACACCTTGAAAAAAACAATAAAAATCAACGATTTTGGTTTGTCGGCGCTCTCTTGGGAGGTCTCTTGGGATGCCTTCGGGGCCTCATGGAGCTCTCTTGGAACGTCTTCGGGCCTTCCTGGCCATTCCTGAAGCTATCTACGCGCGTTTTGGAGCGCTCGCGGGCCGTCTTGGGCGGTCTCGAACTGTTCCTGGCGGTCCCAGGGGCCCTCTGGGACGCTTCAGACGCTCCCGGGGGCGCCCTGCACCCCCCATGGAGATTACTGGCACCGCCCCGGGCCGCCCCCGGGCCCTACTCGGGAAATAAATGGATCCATCGTTTTTTCACATTCAGGAAAGTGGACCCGCGCAACACAGAAATAGGATCCACGAAACTCTCCCACACCCCAAAAAGGGATCCAATTGGATCCATGGGTGTTCTCATAGCTTTAGTCCAAGAGGAAAAAAACTTTCGGCCTGGGGACGCAGGATTTCGCACCCCTTTCCGATTTAGCACCCCTTACGTAGGGAAAGACGCAGTTCGAAATCCCACCCAGGATTTCGCACCCCTTGCGATTTAGCACCCCTTGCGTAGGGGGAGACGCAGTTCGAAATCCCACCCAGGATTTAGCACCCCTTACGATTTAGCACCCCTTACGTAGGGGGAGACGCAATTCGAAATCCCACTGCAGGATTTCGCACCCCTTCCGATTTAGCACCCCTTACGCAGGGGGAGACGCAGTTCGAAATCCCACCCAGGATTTAGCACCCCTTCCGATTTAGCACGCCTTACGTAGGGGGGGACGCAGTTCGAAATCCCACCCAGGATTTCGCACCCCTTGCGATTTAGCACCCCTTACGTAGGGGGAGATGCATTTCGAAGTCCCACTTCCGCAGGCCGAAAGATTCTCCTCTTGAGCCCCACATGTCGGAAGCGACGCGCCGTTCAGGTGAGCGGATACATGTAGCGCTCTCTTCGAGGCTGGGTAAATATGTTATGGTGTGAGGTGCGGGAGTTGGCCGGGCCCGCTGTGGCCTTCGAGCAAATGGGAGGACTTTCGGGACATGGCAAAACCCGGGGTGGCGTTCGAGCAACCACACGTTATGGGAGAAGTGAAGGGAGTTGGCCGGGCCCGCTGTGGCGCTCGAGCTTCCGACTTGGACACTTTGCTTGTGTGTCCTCGCCCTCCCTCATCCCTTCCTCTCCTCCTCCTCCTCCTCCTCCCACTTCCCCCCTCCTCCTCCCACCTCCTCCCTCCTCCTCCTTCCTCCTTCGTCCGTCTGCCTCCCTCCTCTCTCCTCCCTCCTCCCTCATCCTCCTTCTCCTCCTCCTTTTCCTCGTCCTTCCTCCTCCCCCCTTTACCCCTGATTCTGTATCCTCTCTCCCCCCCTGCGTCCCCTCTGTTCTCCTCCCACCTCCTTTTGCCTCTTCCCTCATCCGTCCCATCGTCATCCTGGGAAAACCGCCCTCCCCCGTAGAATCATAGCATGCGTCTGCATATCCACAGCTCCGTGGATAGCATGATGCTTCACTTGCGGTGCTCCGCGGATCCCATTTCCCCTGGGTCCCGGATGTTAATTATTATTTATATATATACACATACATACATACATACATACATACATACATATTAATATTCCCTGGAAATAAATGGATCCATCGTTTTTTCACACTCAGGAAATTGGATCCGCGCAACACAGAAATAGGATCCACAAAACTCTCCCACATCCGAAAAGGGGATCCAATTGGATCCATGGGTTCAAGAGGAAAAAACTTTCGGCCCGGGGATGCAGGATTTCGCACCCCTTCCGATTTAACACCCCTTACGCAGGGGGAGACGCAATTCGAAATCCCACCCAGGATTTCGCACCCCCTGCGATTGAGCATCCCTTACGTAGGGTGAGACGCAGCTCGAAATCCCACCCAGGATTTCACACCCCTTCCGATTTAGCACCCCTTACGTAGGGGGAGACGCAGTTCGAAATCCCACTGCAGGATTTCGCACTCCTTTCCGATTTAGCACCCCTTTACGTAGGGAGAGACGCAGTTCGAAATCCCACTGCAGGATTTCGCACCCCTTACGATTTAGCATCCCTTACGTAGGGGGAGACGCAATTCGA